TGGGGATAACCTGCTGTCCCAGCCCCAAACACAGCTCAGTTTGGGGAGGCTGGTTGGTTTTTCCCTTCTTTGCAGAGAGAGCAGTGCCAGTGCCCAGCCCCTCCCAGGTTTTGGCTCACCCCACCCATGCCCATGGGGTCCTGGGCTCCAGGGCAGACCCTGCTGTTGCATCTCATCATGCAGCACACGAGGTGGTGGCCTGGTCCTCGAGCTGATCATGGTCCCTCCTGGTTGGGGGTTCAGGTTTTGGGACATCAATGCCCCCAACATGTCTCTTTTTGCTGAAATCAGCCTGCAGAGGAGCCCTGATGATTTCAACCATCGCTGTAATTCTGCACATTGACACCTCTCACATTTCAGGAGTACCAAAGACAACCCATTTCTACTCAAGAATCTAATTTCATGCCCCTCAATTATTCCTCTGTCTGTCGTGTCACTGCTTCAGCAGTTCTGGGGAGACACAGCTGCTGCTGCAACGGGTGAAGTCTGGAAAAATACATTTTAAAAAATGTGAAATGTCTGCCTTAGGAAGGTCCTGGCACAAGGTGCTTTAAGCAGGTCACTTGGCTTCTGCCACTGCCACAATGCAAATCTGTGACTGGAACAGCCAGATTGTGTCTCACTGGATTTTCTGTGTGGGAAAGACAGTCCAAACGTGGAATGAAGGTGGTGGGGAACAGCCAAAGGTCTCACTTGTTTGACAGCTCCTGTCCCAAATTCACTTTGTTGACAGGTGTTACCTCTGCAAGAGGGACTCCCAGCACTAGACCCAGATATAAAGAGAGGACATACTTATCATCAGGGTGGGGTTTCAGCAGAGAAATGGCACAAGAAGAGCAGAAATCCTGATGATTCACATGATGTCCAGACAAACTCTGCTTTGGTTCTGCAAACAGCCCTGGCATTCACAAGATGCTGCCACCTCATTAAGTTGGGAAAGCTCTGGGTGATCAGCAAAGTCTGTTCCCACTGTGACTCTCAGGCTGCAGAGGGGCAGGCCCAGAGAGCTCAGATTTCTCCAGGAAGCTGAGAAAAATCTCCATGTTCTGGTAAAGTTCTCTTTATTTACAGTATTCTTCTTTTTGTACATACCTATAGCAACATCAAAAATTATTCACAAAGCTTAACTGAATGTAAAAATGTTCTCATCCAACACAGTTTGTCCTCTCAATACCTGTGGAAAACTTCCAACTGTTCTCATGCAGCAACGAGATTGTCTGAGCATTGGGTTTTAGTTTTTCTGGCAGAATCGTAGGAAACCACCTCGGAACTTGTACAGAGATACTTTTACTCACCTTTTTTCTGAACACCTTTAGGCATCGAAGTTCTACAGAATCAAACTCAGATTTGCTTTTAGAAATGTGAGTTGGGGAAGGAAGAGAAGAGATACAGAAGAACTTGAGCTCCTAAACAAACACAGGAGTGCAACCGGAGCACATTGGACAGTTTTGCACTTACAACACCTGCCTCAGAACCTCCTTCTCAGTTCAGGCAAAAATGTATTTGATTCAATTTTAAGAACAAGACTTTGCTTCTGAGGTACTGAGATTTAACAAGTTCTCACATATTTTTACTTTCCCTTTTGTTCAACCCCCAAAGTCCATCACGAAACATTTGCAGAAGGACATGAAAAAACTGCCAGTCACTTACTGCAATGCCTGGGGAAAAAGTGTCAGGTGCTCACTTTTATTTGTCTTTGAGAGTGGAAGAAGTTACATGAAATGTAGATAATGTCCTTTGCAACCAAGTGATAACAGTTATCTGATACACAGCACATTCAAATTCCAGGCCAAACTGTGGTCACATTTTCTGACACAAGTAGTTACCCTGGAGAAAAAGTAAGGCTGTCACAATTTGACCTTCTGATCAGAAACAGAAGATTTAGATACTTATCAAAATTGGTTAGCAAAGTTACAGACCTCTCTTCTTGCTGCAGCCCCCCTAAAGTTCAGTGTAGGAGAAGAAAGATTTGGTTTAAGCCATTTGCTGCAATCCCTAGTGCCTGTTAGTGCTGTGGAAATACAGTGCCTGCAGTCTGGTTTAACCACGGGCTAAACTGAATCCCAAAGGGCCCAGAGCCCTGGACTGCACCCCTGAGGAGGCTCCTGCTGCCCTGCTGGGCTCTCCCATTCCAGCCTAACCTCCCACAGTCTTGGTCTGCACTCATGTTTGCTTCCCCACACTTCCAGGCACAGTCAAGGCCTCCAGGTGCAGTCCAACCCCATCACAGTCCAACCCCATCCTTGTTATCCAGGAATCTAAATCCATGCAAGTGTGTATCTGCCTAATGTACAGGGATCTGCAGCAACACTGCTGAGCCAGAAAACAAAACCAAACCAAAGCTCTGTTTTTTCCATCCCTCCCCCAACTTCATGCTCCCAGCAGATCCTTTGTGGAGATGATCTGGAAGTCACTTAACTCTTTGTGGAGGCAACCGATGCAGAACAAAAGCAATCCCTTAACCACTGCTTGGCAGCTCCTTCTGCTCTCTGCCAAATTAATTCTGCACCACACTGGTCGCCCTGCTGGTACCAGTGATCAGCAAATGCCTCTCCCCTGAACAAGCCAATCCTTCAGCAATTAGCTGAGCAAGTTCCTGGCTAGGAAAGCAAAGCTTATTCCTGCTGATCCTGCAGCCACGTGCTCCTTCCCAGAAAAGCCAACAGTGCCCCTAACCCTGAAGTATGAGCTTGTCTTCCAGAAAGGTAAAGAAACCCAAACCCAATCCAGCTGACCCATTCCATGGATTTGAGCATGTTATCATTACCAGTGACCTTGCATTGTAGTAAAGAACTCTTTGATCTTGTCAGTACAAAATGTGCTGCTTGGAATTTGGGGTCTACTGCCTTCCTCTATTTCTCTCTTTAAAAAGGAAGTATAATGTAAGTTAAGCTGAAGTTCAGAAATGCATATATTTTACTTAAAAACATTCATCTGTTCAAAATTCAAAATAAACTTTATGGGATACAACAGTTTGGTTTTTTTTTTTAAATAACATTTCATTCAAACTGTATATAATTCACTGAAGTATTCGTACAGCAAACAATGGTTAACCCTTGAAAACCTGTAGAAAAAGATTTTCACACAAAAAAAGGAAAACCAAAAGTGAGTCCTCACACCCACCCACACTCACCCAAGCACACACACACCCAAGCACACACCCACACACACAGGCTGCAGCAAAAGCAGAAAATTGGAGGCCCAAAAGGAAAACAATGACTGATTGTTCTATCCAAAGTCCAGGTAGCTCAGGAAAAAAACCCAAAAAACCAAAACAACCCCCCGAGAGTCCTCTGAGTAAAGAAACTACCTCAAGAAAGTTCTCAAGTGCACTGGAGACCTGATCATTTGAACTGTTTCTGCAAAGCAGCTCCCTGCACCTGAGAAAAATGCAGCCCAAGGTGACTTGTGCAAATATAAGGAGTCAGGAGTATCTCCTGCTGTTCCTTAAGGAGACATGAGGGGTGTCCATGGATTCAATTAGTCTTTGATCATGCAAGGTACTGCTGGAGTGCTGTCTTCGCCCTGCAAGGAGGAACAGCCCGTTAATCACCAGGGTTTGGCTTCACGGACATGCTGTGCCAGAAGGGGAGGGAGGAGGGAGGGGACAGCTCTGCAGGAATCTGGCAGTGGGGCAGAACTGCTCTGTGTGGGCTGTGACTGGTGAAGACCCCACCTGGCACCTAAAAATCAGGTGATCTACACAAGTGCAAGCTGAGGCACCTCCCAGCACGGTGGGACCTGAGGGTTGTGTGTTACCCACACCTGCAGAACCCTGAGGAGAGCAGGGAAGAGCAGGTGCTTTGTCACACACTGCACTGGGACAGGCAGGGCTTTGAGCTGAGAAACCCAAGAGCTGTCACAACTCAGCACACACCAGAAGCACACCAGTCCTGTCAGGAATCCTGTCAGGAATTTTGGCCCCCACCAAAAACATCCGATGAGGTGGGAGGGAGAAGAGAAGCAGCAGCCAGTCTAACACTGGGACTGATGTGATCTAACATTGTGCAACATTTTTGTTAAGAAAAACACAGCTCTCAGCAGTCTGGACTTACACCTGCCTCATCATCTCAGCTAACTCAGGGCTTCCTCCCACCTGAAGTGAGAGGTTTTGCTCTTCCTTTGTCCCCTACAGCTCCCAATGTGCTACTGGGACCTTGACAGACTCTTCCAACTTCTCGAACTCAGCAACTCCGAGGAGGATTATTTATTTTTCTTTCCAAGTTTCCTGCTGTGATCACAAGCTCACGGAGGGGGCTGGTGTAGCAGAGGTGGGTATCAATATATTCCTGATTATCATCTTCAGTGCTGATACTCTGCCACAGATTTCAAACACAGAAGCTCTAATTTGACTGCAAAGATGTCTAAGAACACTGGGACATCTTTCGTAAAACCAAGAACCCCAAATTCAGTGCATTTTAAAACAATGCACAGTTTTGAGTTGTGTTGTCTGTGTGTGACTTCTTCCAAAAATCAGATCATCTCCTTCAGTTCGTGGAAGAAATAGGAGTTGTTACTAAGTGTAGGTGGGATAATTGCAAAAAGTAAACAGAAACCCACAGAAATTATCCTGAGCTGTTTCTGTTCCATGTGCTTGGGAAGCAGCTGGATGATCTGTGTAAGTACTAACAGGAGCAACAGAACAGGTATGTGCAAGGCTACTGTTGAGCTTAGTTAGTTTAAAAGAATTCAAATGAGATTAACAGCTGTTAATGACGATCCTGTATTATCCTTTTAATTCATAGAGTTATGTGACAGCTGACCATCGTTCCAACTCTCTGGAACTTTGTCAGCAGTCCAAGTCCACACAAATATTGTGTGTCTGTGAGATTTCACAGAGGACTCTCCATTGCTTTAGAAGATTTTAAGAGTAGTTATTTCATACTATTAAGAACTTCAGTAAAATTCATTATTCCTGAGCAATACAAACCCTGCTCCTTAAATAAGGGCTCATCACCATTTCTTTTTACACTGCAAAGCTCCGTGCAACGGAGCTTTGTTTTTTGGGGAATTTTTCTGTAATCATAAGCAAAGATTTCCCTTTCATCATCTCTTTTGGTTTTTCTTTATACTCACTTGTCACACAGATTTGGATCTGATGACTGACTCAGTTTATGTAGAATATCCACTATTCCCATGTCTCGGAGTTTATCCTGGCGTTCCTGTGAACCTACGACGACAAAGCACATTGCTGGGAACGCCACCAACCCCAAATGTCTGTGGGACAGGAGGGAGGAGTGGCAGCAGAAACCAGCCTAGAGGAGGGCTATGGAACACAGCTCAGGCAGGGCACAGCCATGGAAACACTCCCCACAGGAGGTCCAGCTCCTTCTCCTGTTGCCCCTGTGCAGATGTTCAGAGAAGAGAAAGTTTTGAAGGCAAAAATCTTTATCCTAAGGTAAGAAGCTTGGCTTGAGTTGGTTTGTTCTCATCTCTCTGATTTCCCAGGATTTGTATGCAGAGAACATTTAACTGGAGGTGTTTCTGAGCCCTCTCCACCTCTCACCACAGCTGTATCTTCCTGTGCAGCAGCACCTTCAGCCCTCTCCTGGTGACATCCCATTCTTCCAGGCCAGGACTCTCCTCCCCAAATGCCTTCTCCAATTTCTTCCAGTTCCACCCACAAATCCTTTGACTGATTGCAAGTCTCACTGCCCAAGCCATCCATGCTGAGGAAAATTTCTTTGCAACAAACCCCCTTTCTAATCCATTTATCCTCTCCAGTGAACCTGTTCCTTCCAACAACAAGTTCCCACAACCTCTTCAAGACTTGGAAGCTCTTACCAGGATTCTCTTTCACTCCAGTTGTTTTCAGACCTCACAGAAATGCTGCAGGTGAAAACCTGCCACTGTGTGACTTTCCAGCTCCTGTTTATTGTCCCTCTGTCTCCCCCAGAACAGCTCTCTACACTCTCCTTAATGTTCTGACCGTTCCCATCCATTCCACATCACACCTAGAATGATGGCTCCCATTACACTTTGGATCCCATTGCAAATATTGGTTACTATGCAACAAAAGCCTTTTGACCAGAATGGTAACTTGTCTATGCATTAATAATGAGGCTTCCTTACCTTCCTCTTCATTCCATATGAGATTAGATATACAGAACATGGCAGCAAGCTGAAGTTTAGCATTTGAATGACTCTAAATAGAGAAAAGTAGAACTCAAGGTTAGAAGAGAAATTCAGAATTTCATAACACTTAGATTTTGTCATTCATCCTGTCATAACTACAGTAGCAAAGCTGGGACTAATTCTTATCTACAACTTCTTTCAAAATAGAGCAATAATACAAGCACTTGAGTAGTGCTCAATCACTTCCTTCCAAATATTTATTGACGTCTGCAAGATATGCTTTTTCCAAGATCATGAAATGTTTTCCAAGGGGACTTGGTATTGCTAAGTCACTGTAACATTCTTATGGGAAATAACCACTGCCTTTTCCTTTTATTCAGCTCCTCAGTACCCCTCTGGCACAAAGAACTGCACCCCAGGAATTATGAACCACCACTGGGTTCCTGGAAGTGAAGTGCATGACAGTGAAGAATTCACACAACAAAATCCTCAAGCACTTTCCTCTTCTCATTCCTGCAAAAGACCAACATAAAACCCTAAAGAGAAATTGCCCCTACCATGTAGTATTTGATTTTCTGCAGGATGTCATCATTGGTCATAATCAGTTCTTTTGCTGTCGTGCCATCTGCTATATTGGCAAGGATACATAATGTCTGAAAGAGAGAAAAACCAGGAAGTTCTTTAGCCACAGATCACATCCCATGATTTATACAGCTTCCCTGACAGCTCTGAACTCTGACAAACAATTCCTTCAATTAGTTTTAATATCTTTAATCTGGAGTTTCCAGCTTGCTTCCATCTGGGGCCAATGCCAAGGAGGCAACGGCTGTGAGGAACAGCCCTGGCCAGAAACAGTCATTGCCATGTTAAAATGAAAAGCAACACTCATTAATTCTTTATAATGAGGAAAATTGTAAGCCTCTCATGGAAATCTGCAGCATATAGAAAAGATTGACTACCCTGGAATACAAAGCAGTCTGTTCTGTATCAGGAGCTGGGGGGAAAAGAAAAAAAACGACAGCAAAACCCAATCATATCTATCTAGTTCTGCAGGCCAGGGACAGGAGGGACTGAGGCCTCTCTGCTGATCTAGCAGAGGAGTAATTTGTTTTTGACAAGTCTAATCACAGTTGTTGCCTGCAGAGGTAACTCAAACTACTAATGCAGCTGCTTTTTTCCTGAAAATCAGAGGAGCCACCGCACAGAATTCCCTGGAAGCACCCTGGCCCGTGCTGGCACTGCCTTCAGACAGCACTGATGGGCACAGGCAGCTCCTCTGGCTCTCAGGGGGCACTGGGAGATGCTCAACAAGTTCCTTCCCAAAGAGCTGTGGAAGAACTTCACCCTCATTTCTGGGCATGCAGGGAGGGCACCGAGCAGGACCAGCACTGGTGTGGTTTGTGTCTGAGCTGCACTGCACTCCTGTCAGCAGCTGCACACACTAATTACTGCCAAGCTGCCAATTACATCCTGAGGAGCCAGGCAGGGACAGAGTCCTGCTGGAAATCTGGGCTCTTGTGTGCACACAGGCAGGGCTGGATGTGTGACCTGGTGCTGAAGGAAAAGCAGGCTGCACCCCAGGGACCAAGAAAATGCTCTGTGGATAAAGGCCCCAGACTCCAAAGGCCATATCCATCCCTGGCCCTTTCCCAGAGTACTTCTCAGCTATGCTGATCCTCCTCCAAAATAATTCCCAGAGCCTTGGCAAGGTAAATAACCTCCCCACATTTTCCTGCTCTTTCCCCTGCTAGTGCCTCTGTTCTCTTCCTACCATCCCCTTCCTGCCCTGCAACTGCCTCATTTAATTCTTCTGCTCTCACATCCAGCACTCTCTCCTCTTTACCAAACCTACATTTACAAAACCATTTTGAATTCCATTCAAACATCTTTGTAATAATCCATCAGAAAGAAAAGCATTCTTGCAGGTACTCAAGTTATCCATCTGATATCTCAGTAAAATATTCACAGCACATCATAATCCCAAACAAAAATGCCATGTTGTGAACAGGAATAATTCTTTGCTGTTTCTTACATTTTTTTCTGCCAAGACAACACAAAACAAAAAAGGTACCTGCTCTTTGACTTCTATATTGTGCTCCCCTTCCAGAATGAGGGTCACTGCTTGCATGATTTGCTTCCCATGAGTGCTCATTATATGGTCTATGTGCTGCCAAAGCAAGGAGGAAACACACTTAGTTGAACTCCCCAAAGAAGGCACATTCCTACTTCAATCACTAAGGGAAGAGTAGCAACACTGCACACAGAGCCCAGCTCCCAGTGAGTTCTCCCAAATCCAGGACTTTATCACAGCAGAAACACTTTTTAACATTGCTCTTCATGTGAAGCCTGGTCTTGTCTGAGAGAGCACCACACAGGCCTTGGCTGTGATTTCCCTGTCACCCAGAGGGAAGGCACTGGCTTCCCACTCTTACAGTCTGGAGACTGAGTCCTGCTGGAGCCAAGCTCCAAGTATGATGCTGCAGTTAGAAACAAGCCCTTCTCTTCTGGTAACAGGGGGATAATATCAGACAGGGGTAAGAAAACTGCTGCTTCTTATCTGGGATTTGCTCCTCTTACGGGAACACTGTGACCAGGTCTGATATCCACATTTCCAAAGCCTGAGACAGTGCAGAGAAATAAGCCATGTGCACTGCTTATGTCTGGGAAAACTGTCCCAAGTTCACTGGATCACAGGGAAAAGGCCACTTGATGACACACCTACACTAGAATAGAAACAATCATTAGAAGTACCAGAAAAAGAGAAACCAGATCTACAGGATGAACTGATCCCAAACCTCAAGGGTGACATGAAACAGGCACCAGAGATGACCAGCACATGGTACATCACAATTCCTTAAGGCTTTAAGGACTTCTTAAAATTGCTATTAATGAGATTTCCTTGGAAAGCTGCTGGATGAGTGAGTTTTGGGTAGAGCTCTGGAGTGAGTTTTGGGTAGAGAATGAGAATGGCTGGTTCTGACTCTAAAACACAGCACAGGAAGTGGGTGAAGCTGGCACGGAGTTCCAGATGAAAAACACCTAAAGTGACAATGAGACTGTGCTGTGAAGAGCTCAGGGTGAGTTTAATGAATGACTGGTTATTAAATATCTTTTCACATTTAGACAGAGCTAATTTTCTATGAAGCCTATTGAGACTCAACAAGTACAAACATCAGAAGATTTTTTGTAGTGACCTTTTTATGGTAGAAACACAATACATGATAAATGCACAGTAGAGGCTTCATGGTTTTTTCCCCCCCACAAAAATGTTGGCTTGCCAAATATGTGCTGCATGTTTTCCCTCTGTTCTTCACAGAGGATTACCCCTTTCTTTTTCTCCACCAATATCTCTTTCTCCCTGTCAAAAACAATTCATGGGCTTACATTTTCAAACCATTTTATTTCAGGGTGTAAAACGAACGTAGGCATTTTGTAAGTGCACAGTCCCCCAGTCACATTCACAAAGCCAGTACTAGCTATACAGCTGGGTAAGAACACAAGTATTTCAGGGGTCAAAAAAGAAGAAACACAAGTATCTTTAAGATATGGACTTCTCCACATGCTGCCTCAAGAGTGCAACCCTCCTACTACTGTGCTGGACAAGTTTCACAGAGAAACTGTCAGGAAAATTATGTTGCTGAAAGGTAATTGCAATGGAATTGAACATCAGTGTAAATGTCTGGCCCTGCATTTGATAACAATTACAGTGTTTCTGTGGATCTAGAGAATTCTTTCAAACGTTTCCTTACACTGATTTGTACGCTTGGTTGCAAGTATTCGAATAAATCCAAATTCTTCAGGTTTTAGCAAGATCCTGAACATTGGTCTTACACAGAAAAATAACTTGTCTTATAAGGAATGTGTTGTGTTTACTGCAGGTGTGATCAGCTCCCAGAAGGGCCGTTTGCAGCTCCACTTACTGGGCGAGTGGAGAGCAGATTCCTGAGCAGCCCCAGCGTCTTCATCAGCACATTGACGTCGGAGTCAGAGAGCAGCTGGAAGAGCTGCTCCGTGCTCAGCCCTCGCAGGATGTCCGACTTGATCTTCTGTTCTGCTTGAAAAGCCATGTTCTGCAAGAGACAGACACCTCCTCACTCATTTCTTACCTTAAACCTGGGCTTTCGCTCTTCTTGGAGACTATTCCCTGCAGGAATATGTCCCTCCTACATTGATCTTGCAAAGGCTGTGATTTCTGAGCAACTGCTAAACAGTGAATTCAATTTGCACCCAGTCTTGCAGCTGACCTGGTTATTCCCTGCTTTTATTTGTCCTCTGGCATGCTACCGACACTTCTTAACTGCTGCCCTGAACGAGCCTGGCAACAAAATTGGTATCAGAACTGAAGAATTTATTTTACTTTATGGACTAACAGATGAAGTGTTCAAGGCTGATACTGTTTTTCTTCTGCAGTTCAATGCAAAGACAAGCCAGATTTCAGCTACTTTATTTCTAATAACGACCAACAAGTTCTTTAAGTTACATTCCCAAACATCTGAAGGAGCTAAATGCCAAGTGGAATTTCATCAGTGTGCTCTACTCACCATTAAAGCCCAAATGCCGTTCACTCGCAAGGCAAGATTCTCACTCTGTGTTAAACTACATAGAAGTTCTATGGCTCCTGATTCTAAAATAGGCTAAAAGAGGGGAAAAAACAGAGCTTTAAAACACTAGACTAATTGCACACGTGAAAATGCAAATAAAATAAAATACAAATATATAATAAAATATAATAAAAATGTGTTGCTTATATCTTATTCTTGAGCTTACAACATGTCCAGTGCAATCCCATGAACTGACCACACCACAGCCCATATTCATGACAATTAATAAGTAGGTTTTTATGAAAAAATTCAAGTTTGGTTGAAGTCAATCAGCAAAATTTTAGCATAATAAAGAAAACTGGAGACTTCTTCATGACCAGACTGAAATACAAAACCTTTAAATGACAGATATGAAAGAATATAAGATGGCTTAGAGAGGCTTTCAAATCTAAATATTCCTTCATCTTGCACAATCAGTGTTTTCTTTTGGCCATGATGCTTTTGACATGAACCATTATCCCAACAGAAAAAGAAGTATTTCAGTCCACTCTGAAGTGGAAACACTGTGCTGTGCCCTGCAGAGTGACCAAGAAAGCCCATGACCATGGGCCAGGGAACTCTGCTTGGCATTACTGCAGTGAACTTTCTGTCTCACAGACACGACTGACACCACCAAGATCAACTGAGCAACCCCAGGGAATCCACAGTGCCCTGCAGGATCCCCCACACAGCACAGTCTTAAACGTTTTCTGTAACTGAAACATATTTAAGACCTGGGGAATTGTTCCCTTGCTATGAAGTGCTGGTGTGTGCATATGATCTGTATGGAATACAGACTCTGCAGAACTCAAGACCAGATATCCTGTACTGTTCATCTGAGAACAATAAAAACACAACACTCTGCTGGGCCAGCATTTTCAGGATACAGCAGCACTAATTCTCCAAGACAATGGATCATAGTTTGGTTTCTTCTTGTTCATGATTTTTTTAGATAACAGTGTTTTACATGTAAAAAAAATGACAAAACTGCATGTCTACTTCTTTTCTTTAGAGACCACATTTCACTATTCAACTGAATTCAGTGTCACAGCACTGTAAACATGATTTTTTTTGTTATTCACAAGCCATCAGTGACCCAGGCCACGTCCCATCACAGCTCTGTAACATGGCACAAGCAGTGGCTGCCAATGAAGACACCTTTATGCTTACTGAACCCTTGTATAATGGTCCTGTTCCTGGATAAATACCAACCTCCTTGCTTGGAGAGAATTCCAGAAGAAGATTGCATAGCGTGGAAGATGCTACTACGAGAATTTCATTTGGAGCATTCTGTAAAACCTGCAGGCACAAAGGGGGGAGAGGAATCCTGGTAACTGACATAAGGAAGGGATCACTGTGAAATGGGATGCCTGGGATTATGCTGCACTTTGAGACTCCAGACTTCAGGAGATGCTTGGATGCAGATCCAGACAATGACAGCCATCCCATGACAAGCTGGAGCAATGCACTATTTCACAGAAGCCAGACTGGAGAGCTTTCAGGTCCAATTTAGTAGAAATCAGTGGGGACAATCCCTGCTCTGCCAAGGACACATGTGCAGAGGAAGCTCCAGGAGGAGCCTCTTCAACACTTCTGTACCTCGTGCAAAGCACAACGTGACAGATTTCCCCAGGAGCATCCCTTCAAAAAAGAAGGTTCTCCAGCAGCACCAGAACATGCCATTCCTAAACTGAGCAGCTCATCTATTCAGAGCAATTCCCAACGTTTTGGAATGAACACGCAAGTTCCTGATTTCAGCTTATTTAATACAAATCAAAATTAACAACTGCTGGCAACTGCATTTACACAGAAGTCTGACATCTCAACTTTTAGTTTCCCCCCGGCTCTCCTTTTATGCCAGTTGTGCTTCTTCAAGCAATCCTGTTGGCTTTTTGTTTTACATTTATAAAGGTTTGACATTTTCATGTTTGGCCTTTCACAAGCTCTTAGAATATTCAAATCATTCCCATTACAGGATGAGAGATGACATAGACCTTACACACTTGGATCTCATTTATTCTTGTGGATAATTGCATTATAGTAAGATGTGTCTTTTTAAAGGTCTTGCTGAGCTCTTTGGCCTCAGTTATGGAGTCTGCAATGAGATATACAAGGCAGAGAACTGGAGGAGGAAATGCAGCTCTAAATTCTGTTGCAGGGCTCACAGACCAAGTCCAAACTGTGCCATCCAATGACAGCATGAAATTAAAGGGCATCTACTCCTCCTAGTGCCCCATGTAAACATTAGGGATAACTTCACTCACTGATCACAAGAAAAAAAACACAAAAAAATAATGAGAAAAGAAAACAAAAACCCTTTCAAAAATCAAGCATGAACCACAGTTCTCTTTGCTGCTGCTTGGCTTTTAGTGACTTCTGGTTCTCTCAGGAGAAGGCCATGGAATTTTGATTTCTAGGTAATTTCCATCATGGTTCTACAGCAAGGCATGTAATCTGAACAGACACCACGTGCCTCTTTACTGGCACAGAAGCTGCAGTCGCTGAGACCTGGCTCCTCTTCCCTTACCTTCATTAAAGGCTTCCATACAGCATGATCCTGAAAACTTGTCCTGAGCTGCTGTACAGAACGGGACAAACTGTGCAAACATCTGCAACGGAAAGGAAACCTTCCCTGTGAAACATGGACACTGCTGGAAAACATCCACTGCTGCTGCACAAGGACTCAGCTTGGAGCTTGGCAAGTGCCAGGAAATGGCAAAGAGAAAACACGGCAGCAGCGCAGGGTAACTGCCCCCTTCCCCCAGTACATTTTCCAACAGCAGAAATGAGTTCAGGTCAGCTTTCAGGAAGTGAGCAGGACTGGCAGCAGGTGCAGCAGCAGACAGAAGGCTGTGTGTGATGGAACAGGTCCTACCTGACTGCAGCCAAGCGCACCTTGATGCTCGACTCGGACAGGCCGTTCACGATACGGTCCATCATGTTCTCAGTCTCGATGATCTGCAGCAAGAGCAATTCATGGCAAGGAATAAAACACTCTGAGCATTTATGGGCTCTTGGCTTTTTGTCTGCAACATTTGGAATACTGCATATAAAAAACTGTAGCTGAAACCAGCAAGTCATGTTCTCTTCCCAGATTCAGTGGAAAGTTTTGTGTATCTGCAGACAACTTTGGAAAAAATCTCCATTCTATGTTCCACTGCTGCTTTTAATCACCAAGGAACAACAGGATTATATATATATGAATTACCCTTAATGCCATATTAAAGCTAAGGAGAGTACGTGTGGTTGCACACAATATATACAAACTACAGACCACAGACAGGCTGTAGATCTGTGTGGATAAAAAATACCTTCTAGTTCATCTGTCATATTTAGACAGGGCCAGAACAAACACTTAAGACCAGGATAAAAGGGAGTTAATACCCAGATAAAAGATGGATTTGGTATAATAAATCAACTTTGTCATGTACACACCCATTGCTTATTAGAAACAGTGTAAAAGAAGGATCCTCACTATTAACTACAGCAACAAAAGAGAGGCTTATGGGTTTGAATTTTGTAGATCCTCATGGATAAATCTTCCTGATATTATCTTTTCAACATGTGTTTTCCTGCCCATACATTTTTGCCTTCTATTTTTCCCCTTTAACCAACAAATCAACTCAGAAAACTCTCCTGCCTCCCCCCTAATTGCCATCTCTGACATAGCAAGCCCACGCTTAATTTTAAAAAATGCTCCTTTTAATCATTTATTGTTCGAGTTCCCTCCACTTTGCACACATGAATTTTTAACTCTGAGTACTCCCATCAGCCCCTCCTCTCTTTCCTGTGATGTTTGAACCACCAACTGCTTTATGACAACTTTGGTCACTTGAGAATCAGGAAACAAACTCTGACTTTGCTTCCCAATATGATTGGACTTTCCACAGTTTATTTTTTAAAAGTCATTTGTTTTGTAATGGGATAGGATGAGAACAGAGGTGTATTCTATCCCTCAGAACACAGGTCTCAGAAATTACTCATATGCCACAACACTCCTTATGAGTAGTCAAGGACCACAACATGCTGAAAGACAATTTCTTGCGAGACTCTGCTCCACCACTGTGAGGAAGGTTTATATCAATGTAACACACGGAGCCTCCTCATCTCAACCTCTTTACCTCACAGTGGGGAACACAAGGCTGGCAGGTGCCAGCCCCTGCCTTTCAGCTGCATGTTTTGCCTGCTGACACCTGTCCAGGCCCACCTTTTTGCGGATGTCCTCGTCGTTGGCCCCCAGGGACGCGTAGAGCTTGAAGGCGGCCTGGCGCAGCTCGTGGGCGTGCTTCAGGTCGTGGTCCAGCTGGGGGAGCGGAGCACAGACACCAAATTCAGACACTAAGAAGTTGCAGGTGGGATATTCTTATTTGTTGCAGGGTTTTGGCTGCCACCCCAAGGGCAGCCAGAAGCACAAGGAACTCCAGGAGCCCACGTCCACCTTTACCAACTTAATGCAATAACCAAAGCTAAGAATACAGCTAATTTCTCTGCTGAGTTACAGAGAAGCCAACTTCAATTTGAGGCCAAAACAAGGTTAGGACTCTATCCAGGCCATAATCAGGAAAAACCTGTTCTTATCTCCTCAACAAAAACTTCCAGGAACAAGCCAGGAGTGAAAAAACGTCAAGGGAAGTTTTATCAAGAGAACTGAAGCAAAAGCAAGACCCAAAGCTGGTCTCTAAATCTCAGGACTTCTATCTTAAGGTGGGTTTTAACTTCTGCTGTAGGGTAACACAGCAGGTGTTGGAGGTTTCTGGGAGGTCACCTCTGAGCAGAGATGCCCGAGAGGGGAATCTGGGGGATGCACCACTGCCCACAGATCAGGAAAAAGTGTTTGGGGGTGTGATAATGGCCGGAGCTGTGTCAGGGCAGGGTTAGACTGAACATCAGGGAAAGGTTCTTCCCCCAGAGGGTGGTTGGGCACTGAACAGGCTCCCCAGGGCAGTGGACACAGCCCCAAGGCTGCCAGAGCTCTGGGAGTGTTTGGACAATGCTCTGAGGGAACAGGGTGGGATTGCTGGGGTGTCCTGGGCAGGGCCAGGAGTTGGACTGGGTGATCCTGTGGGTCCCTTCCAGCTGAGGAGATTCTGTGATTCCATAAGCAATGGGAGCACCAGCTGAAGGGATCGTGGTGTTTGAGGGTGACCTGCTTCAGACACACAACGTGGCCTCTTAAACCTCCTAACGTTCTCTCCAGTGAGAACAATCCCGTGATCCTGACTGCCCTCCAAACTCTGTACCAAAGGGTTCCACAAAACAATGCCATCTTCAAAGCCTACACAAAATGCCAGGAAAATGCCAGCACTAAGTACCAAAGTGCTGAAATAACAGAACTGTCAAAAATGAAGCTGTCTGAGTTATTCTCTCCAGGGCAGCTACATTAGAGCACAAGTGTTACCTAACTGGTATAAATATTTGAAGCAGACAAGCTCTGTTTGGCAGAGCCCTCACTCACTGCTCAGGCAGTTTTACCTTACAGGGTGCAGTTCCAAGCACTCTGTACAAACCCTGCATTCCCAGCTGACTGCTCTTACAGACTATCTGCAGACTCAGAGCACTGTCATAATATTTAGAATTGCCCCACTCACATTTGGAACCTGATCATATTTTTGATGTTACAGCCAATGTCCACTACTCCACAATAAGCTGCTAAACTTCTTTTTGCTTAGTTTTGTGCTGTAATTGATTTTTTTTTTTTTATATTTAATGTCTGTTTTTCCATGAAATTCCAGTAGCTCTACATGCAGAATCAATCCCATTCCACAAAGGTCTGGGAAGTGAGCCTACCTCTTGGGCAGTTTCAGAGAAAAACCAAGGCTCTGTAATCCATTTTTTGGGGTAATTTTTTAAAAATCAGACTCAGTAAGAGGGAGGAGCAATGGATATTTCCCTATGTGAAATATCCAAACCAGTCTTGCTTCTGACGCTGATTGATCCACCAGTGCTTTGGAAAGGGTCTGAAGATCTTATGAAACAGTTCATGGATGAGAACTCCTGGTACAACACCTATGGAACTGAGCCTCCAAGGTGCATCTGGGCTGTGTTCATCCCACCTCTTGCAAGCGCAGAGAGCTCATAATACGAAATGCTGCCTGACATCCCCATGCTTTAACACAGCAGAACCATCTCTGAACTTCAGATTTCCCACAACCCTGACCTAAGAACTGAAATCCATGTCTCTTCACATGGATCACTATCTCTTAGGAAGGTTTCCTCAAGGCAAGACTTGTAAACTTACAGCACGGGGAGTCCAGACACACACAGATCGCGTCTGGATAATGAAGGCTCCAGAAAAAGCAGTGAGTGAGTGAGACTTGGGGCCTACGAACGTCAGGAATCGAGTCCTGCTAAACCCTCCAGTCGCCTTTCTGTTGAGGAACTCAGACATACGGTTGTGGTAGTTTAGTCTGGGCCTTCCTTGGTGACCAGTTTGTAACCAAGGAAGTGCCCAGGTTTACCCAGTATTCCCTACGATTTTTGCATAAGAAGAAAGGAGGAGAGGCCTTCACCCCTCTTTCCTCCCAGCAGCTTTGGAGGTGTGGGTTTCCTGCTGTTGAGTCTGTCATGTTGGGGAGTGAGGTCTGCTGAGGCCTAGTGAGGCCTGGTAAGGCCTTGCCGACCTTGGGCGGCAGAGGTTGCCGGTGGTCATTCCAGCACTACTTTCTGTTGTCCCAAGGAGAGTAGTAAGATATTCTTTTGCTAATTCTTTTAGTTGCTAGATCTTGGGCTATTGATAGTGTATATTTTATTTTGGTTTTGTTCCTTTTTTTCCTTCCCCCCTCCCTTTCCCTTTTGAAATTGTACATATATTTCAATTGTATATAAATGTAATATAAGTGTAAATATATTTATATATATTGCTTTAGCTGTCTCTCGTTTCAGTTCTCTTGGTTTGTTTTTTTTTCCTCTTCTCCCTTGGTTTTGGCGGGGGAGGAGAGAGCTCTTGTGGTGAGGTTTAGAAACTTGGCAGGGAGCCAGCTTCAAACCACCTCAACGGTTTAAATAGAATATTTAAAAAAAAATATCCTGGGCTCATTTATCGTTACTCCTGGGCATTTTTCAGAGCTGCAGGAGCAGGTAAGGGCACGCACCCTCTTGATGTCGGTGATGGCGCTGACGGAGCTGGGGTACTTGAAGTAGTCGGCCAGCATGACGATGAGGTGGTCGGTGATGCTGGCGATGCGCTGCAGCTCCACGTCGGTCTCGATCAGGTAGGCCAAGGTTTCTGCCCCCTCCACCCGCTCCTCCAGCAACCTCTCCTTACTGCACATTCGAACCAAGCACGGCAGAGTCTGAAAAGTTTTAAAAACAAACAAAAAAACCCAACCCAACCACAGCGGTTTAGTGCAGCTTTGTTCATAAAAAACTCAAAAAAAACCCCAACAGCTGTCCCAGGGCAATGCTCAGCATTGTGCTTCAGAGAGAACCTTCAAACACATCACTTTGGGGGTTTTAAGTCTCCACACAAGCAGAAATTGCTCAGGCCATACCAAGTATACAGTGGACTACTTTGAAACACCTTCTCACGCAGCCAAAATGATGCAAAGTTTAGAAGGGACCATGGACAAAGTTTTGCAAAAGCTTAAAAAAAAAAAAATCCTCTCAAAAGTTGGTATTTGCAGGTTTGTTCTTACTACACACAGGAACGAGAAGTATCCAAGCTGTACTTGATCCCTCCTGCCCTTCTGTGATCCACGATTAACTAAGGACAACATGGTCAGCATTAATCTCAGGTTCCTCTCACACACACTGGCTGCCTGGAGCAGCAGGGAAGGGAGGAATTCTCCTAAGCAGCATATTTGGTCACCCAGAAATGAAGCCCACCTGGAATCCAGGTCCACTCTGCCTTACTCTGATGTACCCCCTACCTTGGTTACACTCACACAGCAAGATTTTTGTCACACCTTCTCTACTCTGAGCATTAAAAACAATCAGGTCTTTCTTTACCTGAAGCTCAATGAAAAGCACTTAACCGTGGAAAAAGCAATTCTCCAAGGGTTGGGACTCTGTTCACTCAAGCCTCACCAAAACAAGTGTGAAAGTGAATGAGGAATAACACCAAGATTTGTGCCTGTGTAACTCCACCGACTTCAACAGTAAATGTTTCCCAGAGTTATGTTTTTGGGGACCTGAAATACCATTTATCCATTGATTGCTGAAATGATCAAACGGATAAATATTTTCTCTCCACTGCACTGGTAAGGAAGCAGAGCTACAGGACTCCTCTACATTTATGAGAACGAGAGATGCTCCCAGCAGGATTACCCCTGGAGCTGTGAATCCTGCAGCTAATCCAGTGAGCCAAAGCACCTCCTCTCTGCACACCTGACCCTTAAGGCATCAGGTAAGACTGAACATAAGCTCTCAAAAAACTACATTCATGTTGAGTGAGAAAGAAAAGAAGTGGAATTCCAAGTCTAAATTACGAAGACAATGTACTTCCTAAATCCTTCCAAGGTCAAATGGCCTGAAAGGAGCTATTTCTTGGAATTCAGGGCTGGGTGTTGTTAAGTCACTGGTTGCATGCACCCAAGAAACACAAATCTCATGGTTTTCAACACTTAGCAATTCCATCTGTTTGAAATGAAACAAAATGAAGAATTCCGACATTTTAACTGTTCCATTGGACCCAAAGGTCAGTACAACGTAATCCATGCACAGGACTGTGCAGAGGTGTAAAATGAAGAGGGACAAAGCACACCTGGCCAGCAGATAAAAGTCTGGAAATGGGCTGTAAGATGGAATATCTATTTCCCAGGGTATTGCTGGGATGTGTCAGTGTTATCTGGACAGTCACTTTCATTATTAGGATTCCAGAGCAATAATTTCCCTTCCAATCAAACCCATTATTTACCAGCCTCCTCTGCCTTCTCCCCATCCCAAGTGATTTTATTTTTTCACATTCCAGGCTAACCCACTACTCAAAGTGGGCAATGAAGATAACTTAAAACCATTTTGGGAACACACATCCCTGAGTGGCCTCCAAATGCAGAAAGTTTGATAGTAAAGGGTCAGTAATTCCTGAATACCAAAGGGGTCACTGCCTTTAGCTCCCCAGAGGGGATTTGTGACTGGGTGAACCACAGAGACACTGTGTTGGAACTACAAGCTCCTGGAGAAGAAATCCCTGGGGCTGTTTGAACAAGGCAAAGTTCCATGCCTTCCTTCTCTCCTCATTCTTTCATTTCCTCCCAAGTAATACAATAAATGTAATTGCACAGCCTAAAACATTTACTTGTGCTGAAGCAGCTTCCATGAGGGAAAAAAGTGCTGCTGTTGCTGTGAGCTGGGAAGCAAATCCATTCCCAATGGTTTGAAAGGAGGGTGGTTATACACAGCCAGCTCCACAGGGACAGTGTCCAGCCAGCTCTCAGCAATCACCTGCCACTGCTGACAGCAGCAATCCCTGCTCCCTCTGCCCAGAGAGAACAGTTCTGGAACACACACGGCCTCACCAGGACATGGTCTGGGGGGTAGCAGACAGGGGGGGGTTATCAGGGGAAGATAAATAGATAAATCTTCTCTTTACCAGAGAAGAACGAGGTTTGCAGAGAGATAGGTTGGGAGAATGGAATGTAGCCCTCAGTTTGCAGGTGTTGTTAGGAGAGAGAAGAGAGAGCAGGGAATTGGAGCGTCCACTTGGAACAAAGCTAAGGAGGAGGGAATGAGAGAGAAGGATGCAGCTTGTGCAGAACAGATGCCACTATCCACCCTGGAATGGACTGTACTTTGGACTTCCTTGCACAAAAAGGGAGGAGGGGTGGGCCTTTGTCTCAGCTAACACATGATTTTTCACCCAGAATGATGGATACCAAAATCCCACTCCCAAAACCTATTGTCCTGGATACTGAAAGGTAGAACTGTGCTTTCTTGGTGTGGTACATCACACACAACCAGTTCCATCCCCTCCATCACCCAAGAGCAGCACTAAGGAGCAGCTCCTGGCACTCTGGAGACAGTTCTCCAGGTTAAAATACAGGCTTGCAGGAGCTGGTGTGGGTTTGCAGCAGAGCCTCAGCAGTGGCCCTTGGTGGGGAGGGTTTGCTGTGTAAGGGCTCTGCAGGGACAGGGACACAGCACAGTACACACCTGGCAGCTCCCTGTTCCCTGAACACCATGGACAGGCCTTCCCAGCCCTTTTCTTTTTGCAGCACTACCCCAAAACTCCCATATCTCATGGAAAAGCAAGCACTGTTGGCATTACCTGATCCCTGGCTGATACACTTGCACATGAACAGCTTTTTTATTCCTTTTTCTTCCTACCTATAGAAGTGTGACTATTAAGAAAGAGATTACATTCCTATGGTATTTAATGAAGTTTCCTTTACTGGATGCCCTTATAATGGCACACTCAGTATAAAAATCAAAGCCAATATTTCAGCACGAGGTGTTTTTTTTAATAACAAATTTCCCTGGCCAAAGTAAGAAGAAGATAAATATACACAAAAGCTGTGAAACCTGAGAACTCATCTGCTCATGACAGGCTCCACATATAGACTGTGCAAGTATTCTGACTTCAGCCCTGTGAAAAAAGTTGCTGAAAGACAAATCAGTGCCCTAGTCATCTACAGAGACCAGGTTAACAATGCTGTTTCCATGGTACTCAGTGCTTTGGAATCTTTGGTGCAACAGATTTTGTGCCACTTTTTACATGAGACAAATAAAACCAGGATAGACCTACATGAGAATCCATTTTGAACAGAAAACTGTTTAACCAGCTGTCATGGTTAGCACAAAAAGGAGTGGTTTTGAATACTGAAGAGGTGGTTTAAGCAGGACACAGCTCACCTTGAGGACGATGCAGGGATCGTCTGTCCGTATTGCTCCGGCTCTGCACATGGAAGTAAGGCTGCAACAACAACACAACACAGTCACCCACCAGGGCCTTGGAGGCAACAACAACACAACAGTCACACACCAGGGCCTTGGAGGCACTGGAGATGTTCTAGAACAACCTCTTGTACTAATGGAATGTCCTCCCCTTTGTCCGACCAATGGTTTAAATCCATCAGTGCTTACTAGACTTGGGCACACAAACTACTGCAGGGGTACTTTTAGGCAGATTTGTGGTGCAGGACACCTTGCTGGAGCACTGGTGAGTACAAACAGCACACACTGGTCACAAAGGGGCAAAGCAACGGCTCTGACTGGCACACAAACCTCTTTTACCAGCTAAAAACCCCAAAATTAACAACTTGCATTATGGTAAAAGAGGAATATACCCGCACTCTCCTTTGCTTAAAGTACCTGCCCATGTTGTGTGAGCAATGAGGAGAGGTCCAGCACAGGGCTGGTGGGGTCTGACAGCTCAGGCAGAAACCACTCAGGCTCTGCACCAGTCCAGGAGATGTGGGATCATTGGGATGTCTGTCTGCAGCAATCAGCACATCCTCACTAATGACAGCCCAGCTAAGGCTCTGAGACTGAACCAAGTCAGCATTTGTTCTTTATCGGACAACAACTCAGAGTGGACATGAGAAGCCCAAGGCCTCAAACTGCAGTGCTGACACACAGACAAATGCTCAGTGGCCCTGGTAATGTACCTGTGAATGTGCCCCAAGCTACCACAAAGTCCTTCACCCACCACTACAAGTGTTTTACCTTGAGGTGGTTCAGTTTTTCCCTGCCCTGCTCCAAGGCAGTGGATGGAGCTGCAGGAGAACTGCTCTGCACCAAGGATCTTTTGGTTTAGCTTCTGAACTAACCATTGGAACTGCCTTCTATCCTGCCACAGTGCAGGTTAAAGAATACAACTGTATTGCAGTACAGTGACTTAAAACAAACACATTTTGACCCTCAAGTGGGCAAGTGGAAATTGTACAGAGGGTCAATCAGAATTGCTCAGTTAAGGAGCAGCAATATCCTCACATCCTGTAACCACACCGTGCTTCACCACATTCCTGAGCTCCTCCCAAGGGCCCAGAGTGGGTGCTTTCATCTCTTAGAGGGCAACATCACTGATCCTGTTCCAAACACAGCCACAGCTAAAAATCCCACCATCAGAAGTCTCTTTATATACTGTTTCTCAGAAGATAAGAGATAACACTTCACTGTTGGCACAGAGCTCATTTGATAAACTTTTACTGCCCAAGCCTTGAGCTGACAGCAGGAAACTCTCATTTTCACACCTGAACAATCTCACAGCTGCCATTTAGTCCAGTGAAACCCCATTTGCCAGGTAAAGTAGCTCTATTTCAAACATCAAAGAAAGTAATTTTTTTACTGCAGGTAAAATAGATTTGGCTTAGCTGGGGGCAATTCTGGTGGGTTTAGCAGAAAAGGTTACTGCTCCACCTGCAGCTGCAAAGCCCTTTCCCAAGAGCCTTCCTGCCCCTCCCTCTGTGCCAACACTGCTGTTCAAGTGAAGGATCCATTTCAATCAAGTCCTCCAGGTCTACTTCCATTGTAGGAAAAAAAAAAAGGGAACTTCCTAAGGTAGCCTTGTATGCCAGTGTGGATTCAAGCAGAAATTTAAGGGAAGGTTCAAAAATGCAGGGAAAAACCCTTCTAGATCTGTATTTCAAGAACTCCAGTAATAAACCAAAGAGGAACTGCAGATTAATTAACCGAAGCTGGCAGGGCAGGAGTGAAATCTAGTTTAGAAGCAGAAAAAGATGACCTGTGACATATCCACCTACTATTCACATTAGAAAAAAAGAAGAGGTAGTCTGACTTGGAGGGAATCAAGCAGGGAATGCACTTATAGAAGAAAAGCCAATAAGTCTTTGCAACTGCCAGGACTGTCATGAAACAGAGGCTTTGGAGCCCTAAATAAGATGACTGCTCATGGACTAATTAGAAACCCCATCTGAAACTCAGGACACTGGTTTGTCTTCCATTTTCCTGCAACATTCCTTTGCTTTACACCATATCATTTTGTTCCATGTTTTGAAAGGTCCACCTCAGCCAAAGCTCTGCAGAGCAAGAGTAGAAGATGGGGTGTCCACCCAACTCCTGCCAACCTGAAGCAGGTCAGCAAAACCCAACAGACCTGGGAGTGCCCATCCCAAAACAAGGACAGCCCAGAGGCAGACAATTCACTGAACTCCAGCTTGCCTTCCTGACTTACCAACTGCTTTATATCTCGAGATTAGTACAAAAAAATTAATTTTCAAAGCATCATTCCCTATGTATTTTCTGACTTCTCAAAGAAACGCATAAATCAGTCAGAACTGATGCTGCTATAGTGTAATTAATTTAATTTGCCTTCTTCAGTAAGAACTGCTTCACAAAACCAGTAAAACCAGGCCCCAAGACAGACCTCCCACATGGAGGGGGATTACCTAAGAAACCCCCCCACACCTACACATCTTCATAACTGCTTTTAGAAATGAGTTAGGTCATCATAACCTGGTAACATGACTCAAGAGGCCATCCTGCCTACCCCACCTGCTCCTCACCCAGAATCCTGCACTGAGGCAAGTGTCCATGAAATGAGTTGGTGAACTCAGAGAACTCACTGTTACTGGTCAAAAAAAGCCATCAAAAACTAAAAGACTAATCAAACAATACAACAGTGACCAAACTCTTGAGTTAAACTTCATTTTAGTCGCTTATAGCGATGGGCAATTTTCTCTCTTTAACCCCCTGAAGTGATTTGTTCCACTATTATCGATACAAGAAAAGGAAAATGGTCTTAAAGGGAGTCAATTCCCAGCTCATGAAGTGCTGCTGTTATGGAACTTGGGCACGTTTTGTCACAGGGTAGAGAGTCATTATGAGTATGAACACACCAAGGTGCCCACACCAGCAGGGAAAGTCTGATTTGAACCACAAAATTAATTAATAACATTAATTCTGCTCTATGAGCACATGAAGCCTGAAGAATAATCTACCTTAATTAAAACAGTTGGGAAGAGGGACTAACCCTGTGCACTAAGGTGATGAGGGAGCAGTCCAACACAACACAGTGAGCAGAGTGCTCTGAGTAGGGGTTCAAGGAGGATGGTACCAGGTGCCAGATATTTCAGTGTTGTGCTCTGCAAGGACATAGGATTGACCACAGCCTATTCAAAGCAAAGCATCATAAACTCCAAGCTACTGGTGAAAATCCACATGGCTGAACACACATTCCTCACAAAACTGACAAAACTGCTGCTCAGCAACATTTTCCCTTGTTTATGCACAGCAAAGAGTGAAAGTTATGTTATAAAATAAGGTGAGAAGCACTTCTTCAAGGGCTTAGATAATGCAAACAGCATCTATAATTATTGCTAAGATTTTACAGCACACATTACTCTGGAAGAAGCAAGGAGGGAGCAGTTAAGCAGTGAGATTACCCTCCATGCTATTTGACTCTCATTCCTGCAGACAATTACCATTTGGCTGACGTGAGCTGCATTTCAATGGGCTTGTCCCTTTGTAACATCTTCACAAAAATCTGTGGTAACAATTCTCCATCCACTGACACTGCAATGAAAGAGAACCCAAAGTCATTCTGATTCAGCCAGTCAATAAAGGGAGTGTCAAAGCAGCAGCATCCCACTCACCATTTACCAGAGTCATGGAGACCTGGGGGTTCTCAAAGGCCAGAACTGAGAAGCATTTCAATGCCTGCATTCGGACCTGGGTGCAAACAGAAGAAAGGAAACAGAAGTGCCAACTGCAGAGCACAACTGGTCTGCACTGCTGGACAGGTTGGGAGGAAACAACACTGCACAGTCAGCAAGACACGAGGATGGTGAATGAATCAAAGGCAGATGGAAACATCCAGCTCACACCTTGACTTCCTGCTATCTCCCTGTTGGGATTATCCTTCTATAGGGGATGTCGTGAACTATTTGTGAAGAAAACCAGCGAGGACAAAACTTGGGAACTAAACAGGAAATACTGGTCTTACCTGTGATGCCTCACAAAGCAAAAAACAACAGAGGAATGGAAGTATATCACAATAGTACTTTTCCTTCCCAGGACTCCCAAGTATGTCAGAGAACCAAAAATACGTGTCCTTAAGATTTACAGTTCAGAAGCCTTTAGAGGTCAGCTTAGTAAAATGTCTAAAGAGAACCATCTGGTTGAAGTGATTCTAAAGTAATGTTAAAATAAATATACCCCATGAGTTTTACTGCCATGGCACAGATTCAGGTATCACTTGTGTGACAAGGGCTGACAGATTTCTTCATGCTGGATCTTCCTCCTTCAGTCCAAAATCATGTCGTGGTTTAATTGAATAACCTATTTTATGGTTGCCTAGTTTTTTGACACAGGGAAGATGGACCGTGATCATTTTCCCAGTTGTAAAACCAACTGTTATTCTAAAAATGCACATTATCCCTGTTCATAGCTTTAATTCATTAGCATAGAGAGAATTTTTATAATCTTCATTTGGATTTCTTTCATAAATATATGTTAAACACAGAACACTTTTAATGTCTTACTTTGTAGGAGGCGGAGACCAAGAGATGTGCAATACTCTGAACAGCTCCATGGTTAAATAAGATTGTCTGGTGATCTGGACCCTTCAAAGGAAAACATAACACCATTAAATTCTTTAAGAGAACATGTAAAAGGTTTCCATTATCTTCAATTCATTGTCAAGTATTTAAGACAGATTGAAGAAGTTTAAGATAGATTTACTAACATTTAATTTGTAATCAGCTAGCATAACATTTTTTAAATAAACAAGTCCAACACTTATTTTTATAGCATTTGTCCCTTTTTTTGGTAATCATTTCCACTCTTTCCTTCAATAGGCAATGCCATTAATTCTCACAAATGAAGAGACATGGATAGAGCACTTCTGTTTCTACTCTTTCTCTTGGAAACAATTGAAAGTTACTGATTTTCTGTACAAATCATATAAAAGATCCCCAGTCACTAATGTTTTCTTCACTGTTAATATTAAGCATTTTCAACAATTCTAACTTCAGAAAGGAGGGGATTTCATCTGAAATGGGTTCCAGACAGAGAGTGACAGTGTTTTGAGGACAGATTCACACATTCCTCCAATTTATTATTCTTATTTTAGTGTCAAACACATTTAGCCATAAATCCAGCCAGTCATGACCTGTTTACTGACCTCATATTCTAAGCTGGCAATGGCTGATACACCAATATTTTTTCCTAAGAGCATTTGGAATTACACACAAATCCTGGCTCTTGCAGGAGGAAGGTCTCAGAACTGCTGTAGTCTGAGAAAGCTCAGTGAGGCTGAACAAACAAGTTGCAATCTCAGTACCTGCAGCCCTCAGCAGTGTCTGGGCAAAGCTGACCTGGGACCTGCAAACCTCTCTTCTGAAGGGGGTTCATGACTCTGGGCAGCTCTGCATGAAGCACGGGCTGTGCACAGCTAAACTCAGCTTTTAGGGTGGCCCAGCTTTTCTCAGCCCTTCATGCACTGCCTTGACTAATCTGCAAGTGAAGAAAGTCTCTTCACTCCTTAATCTCCTGTGCAAACCCAGCTGAGTTTATGGCACTTCTACACACCCTGGGAGGCATCAGAGACACTTTATTCTCACACTTGAGAGGCAGCTGAAATCAGATTCCTCTTATGATCAAAAGAACATTTTTAGAGTATCTCTTACCTCTAAGAAAAAAAGCATAAAATTTACTTTTTATGCTACTTTTTATGTTACTTTTAGATGTAACATATCTGGTGCTTTAAGAGATGCTTCAGCTGCTACTGCCACCAAGAGCTTTCTACCAAAAAATGCAATTCAAACACAGGGTTGAAGGAGGAAAACCACTTACATTGGCACACAGAAGTGGCTGAGGCAATGATTTAAAGCCGCAGCTATGCCAGTGTTGGAGCTGAAGAACAGATATTAAAATATGTGAAAAAAATGAATGAAATTCAAGTAAAAGAAATCATATTGCCCCAGATTTAGTAATTCACAAGTATCAGTGATTCTTCCATGAGATGCAGGCGGTGGGTTCTGTGCAAACAGGCCAAAGGCCCATCCAGAGGTGACACCTGGGTGTGTCTGAGCTGCACAAGGGGATGGACATGAACTATCTCCTCTGTACAGGCTGTGTTTGCACACACCAGTCAGGGTCAGGGTGAACACCAACCCAGAAACAGGGACAGCTGCAAAGACACAGGTGAAAACTGGAGAATGAAATCTCATTCCATAATGAAATGTAAAAAAGCAGGTACCTAAATGCAGTTGTACCTTGGATCAGGGATCCAGCACAGGTCTAAGGTCACACAAGAGAAGGGGCCTGGGAGGAAGCTGCCCTGATTACAGGCTTTATCCTGTACCCTTCCCAGTCACAGCATTTTAATTTTCAGCAGGTAGTGAAATTAGGTAGAGATGTCACCACTTTCAAATCTACGTTCCACAAGTATTTTTTCAAATCATTTATACAACCCTGTGTTTCCAAATACACACCTTCTCAAACTGATCATTAAAATAGCAAGGTTTACTTACTCCCACTTGCTCTGAAAACAAATGAACTGAGACAGATTCTTGCAAAGTAAATTTTGACTTGCATTTTCACAGACCATGTACATCAGCCTGATTACAGTTTACCTATTTGCTTCTCTGTTGATAGAACCCTGGCTCTGGATGTTAAGAACTGCATCTGCTCCCCTGTAAATCAACCCTTTCCCTTGCTCAGGATGGCTCTTCTCCAGGGTCAGTGCTTCCCACCTGCTAATTTTAACTCCAACAGTGCAGGGAGGAGCAGTCAGAGTAAAAGCAGAAACCGGCAGCAACATGCCAGGAACCCGAATTATGGATTTCCCAGCTCAAGAGAACTGGTCTGAGCTTTTCCAGGTGAGTAAGACAGAAGGCTGAGAAGCAAAACAAACAAGATACTGGCAAGGAAGAGGAAAAAAAAATGGATGCACCAAGTGTGAGCAGAGAACAGGATGCAGGAACACTATGAGTTCAATTAACAAATCTACTACAATGAGGAAAGAGAGACATAAAAGCATCAATACCTCCTACAGCCTACACTAAGCCTTACTTAAGTATTTGTATGGGAACTTATTGCTTCAGGTAAAAAACATGAGAAAGGTTCTCTCACTCAGGGAAATAAAGGTTCCCTCACTCACTCCCCTTTGGGGGAAGGTGAAGTCTTCATTTCAAATGTAGTGAATACAGAAACTTTCAGTATTTAATCATTTTTCAGTCATCAGAATGTACTTTGCCTGTCCATGTAAGTCAGAAAGTGCCCTGCAAATTCTGCTTCACCGTATGAGAAGTACTTTGTTCTGTCTGAAAATACAGTAATTGACCTTATAATCTGGAAACCCAAAAATCAAACATAAAAGAAAGAAGGGGGCATTTTAGATTTTTATTTAACAGCTGCATTTGCCTGGGCAAGAGAGAAAGGAGTTCTTGATCAATTTGTGATGACCTGTTTACTCAACCTCAAATATTTTTCTTTGTTAGGCAGCTGTTTATTATTCTGTAAATTCAACTATTTCCTAACACTCTTTCCCCCCACCCTCCCTTTCTTGTGCAGTCATGTTACTCTCTGCTCACACAACCATCAGTTTCTTTCCAAAAACTTCATTTTTTCCCAAAGATTCACTGTAAAATCTGTTTGAGAGGGGTCTGGGGGAGGCATTAAGAACAGAAGAGAGAGTTCAGGAGCCTCTCCCTGCCCTGCTCTGTTAACCATGGATTTGCTGTGCAAGTCACCACCAGGACTTAATGGAGCTGCAAGGAAGTAACTCATTTGAGAAAAGGTGACAATAAGTGTTTTCCTGTTGGATGAATTACTCAGCAGTTCCCTCACAGCCAACAGGGTTTATAATGCCACAGAGCCAACCCTGAGTGTATAAACTCCTCTGCCACCCTATAATTAGTCCTGGGTTGTTTCTCTTGGAAGCCCACATGGCCTGGTTTTTCACCTCCTCAAACTCCTCAGCCTATTAAGGAGACTTTCAAGGGCCACTTAAACAGGAGATGCCTCACTGGTGTGTTTTTCTTCTTAAAATACCAATTTTTTTCCCCAGTATTATCCCAATATATACATCTGAACTTCCACAGTCCAGTGTAGGATTTTGCCTTAATGTTTTCTTTAAATAATTCTATTAATATCAACAGGTGAGTTATACCTTTGTATCACACTAACTCAGTTTTCAGTCCTCAGTTTCCCTTAATAAAAGAAATGCAATGGGATGAGTGAACATAAATAACAGTCAAGGAAGAGGAAAATAGAGACTTAACAAAGGAATAATCCAGAGTTCCAGAGGACTCATTGCAAGTGATAAGGCAGAAAGATATTTTTCAAGGTAAATACTTAAAAATTCATAAACTTGGGAACTTTCTCATTTGTTAGTCTGGGAGATAAATACAATTTATGATCCTCTAGTTTTAAACTGTTTCTAAGGGGAAAAGATGCTGTAAAAATCTTATTTGCTACACTAAATTATTTTGATATTTTGTTGTATAACCCACTGGTACAGTAACTACCAAAAAACTGCAACAATAATACAAAAATGAGTGTTGTGTGGAAACTTGGAGTGGGGGGAGGGAAAGACAAAACCCTGTGTTTGGGGTGGGGTTGCTGCTGGTTTAAAATTAGTTTTCCCCTACGAAGAGAATTGCATTACACAGCAGGAATGAACATGTACCTGGATAAACCTGTAAGTGACAGAGCTCAGCTCAGAGCATTTCCCTTCCTCTCAACCTACAGCATCTCTCAGAAAACACTCCCTGGGTTTGGAACAGCTCCTGAAAGCAGCTGCAGGACCTCCACAGAAGCTGCTCACAGTCTTGAGGCTTCTGAGGAAAAATAATAGTCTTCCAAGATTTATCCTGTTAATAGTGAGCACTGATATTTACCCAGACTGTTGGTTGGGTTTAGTAGTCAAAGCCTACAAAACCCCCCCTTTTTTCCTGTTTTCTTGCACTGTAGAGAAGCCCACACCGACCCCAATAAATCTGCAGCAAATCCAGAGCTGTAACACTTCAGTCATTGCTGTCCCAGCGTTCCTGCCACAGAAGGCAGCACATGCACAGGTTTTTATAGGCCAGAACACAGGAGTTTGCACAAAGAACATGTGTTCTCTTCCTTACTTTGCAGCAGTGTGAGAAGATCTGACATATGTACTCTTGTGTGTATCGAGACCTACTGAGCAGTGCCATGAGGTGGGAGATCACTGTAGCATCCTGCAAACAAGGGAGAGGGAAAAAGGATTAACACTGGATGTCAGCACACTTTCTTCAGTCTGTTACTTAAACAGCACTCCAGATTCTGCACTCAGTGTCCCTCCCTCCACTGAAACTTCTGTGGACACACAACAAGACCAATAAAGTAGTTCAAGAGAGACTTGAAGGCACAAGTAACAGTTCTGAGCTAAATCCTCACAGAAAAAATAAAAGGTCAATGCAAGTTAGGTATGAAACTTCTGTGATTTGTGTCCAGAATCTTTGTGACAAAACAATGAAAGAAGCAGGGCAAGCACAGCAACTGCAAATGTGGGCACTGAAAGCATCACTGCAGGAGCTGGCTGAGCACTGTCCTGCTACAAGTGGGACTCACCTCTTCAGTGCAGCTCCCAGGAGAAGGGAGCAGGGAGGGAACAAGGTGCCAGGTTGGACAATGCACAGTGCCCTGGAACCCTGTGGCACTCTCTCTGTAACTGATTCCTGGGGGCAAGAATGTCCTTTGTCTTTCAAACCCACTATAGACACTGTTGCTGAGTGTGACACCGATGACAGAGAATCCAAATCAATCAGCAAAAGAAAACCGTGAGACTCAAAGAGAAGGTTCCCTGCCCGTGCAGGGGGTTGGAACTGGATGATCTTTAAGGTCTTTCCAACCTAAACCATTCCACAATTCTGTGGTAAGTTCTCCTCTGCAAACACATCCAGTTACTCAAGCTCTGTGGGAAGTCACAAAACTTTAACATTTTAGAGCTTTCAGTTACTTTTACCAGCACATTTTAGTGTCACAAACTGTGGTGATATTGAAAGAAACAATGGTCATATCAGTTTGGAAAATGCTAAACTAAATTCCTTCCATGAGATACAGGGAGCTGAACAGAGGGAAGGATTGAATGAGCCTTCCTTCCCAAAAAACATGTGCTATATTGGCCCTACACACTTAAGTCAGACTCTGCTTCACCTGCAGAATGATGAATAACAGCCCTCTGATCAGGGAGAGGGAGATTAAGAGATTAAAATCAAAGCAAAGCCTCCATCCTCAGCTCCTTTGCCAGCAATGAAAGCAGTACCAACCTGACTGGAGCTCTGAGGGACTGGAGCTTCAGACACAGCTGCTTAGGAGGAGTTTTATTTCCCAATTACCTGAGAAATTTCCAGCCACACTTTTTAATACTATCAAAATAAACATCTGCAAGTTTCCCCACTTGCACAGATATTTGAGGTTAGGCAAAGATTTGCAGTGTTTATTTTTTATTTTTAATATTTAATATTTATGTATACATACAATTATCGTAGTGCTTTAGGAAGCTTTGCTGCCAACAATCCAGCCTTCTCATTCTCAGTGGAAAACAACAGGGCAGCAGAGCCAAGAGACACACTGAGAATAAAACCAGTTTGTTTCTACTGCTGGTTCCTCAATAACTGCAAAGGATCAAGTGTGCAACAGCCTCACTTCCCATTCCAGCATCCTACAGAGAGAAAGTTACTTCCCAAAACCTTCCTCCCAGGTACACCAGCCATACACCCCTGCCCATCTCATGCTCATGTGCACAGGAAGAGCAAGGGACAAACTATTTTTGGCAATGTTCTTGGGCTCTGCCAAGAGCAGCTCCTTTTCCCATGGCACACTGATCTGCCTTTTCCTGTGGCACACTGACACACACAGCATTTCCTGCCAACTCCAGAACCCAAAGGCCAGCAAGGGACTGGTTTGGTGGCCACCAAATCCACAAGCATCCTGTAGCAGCAGTGATTGTCAGGGCCACAAGGAAGCATGTCCTGACCTTCTCTGGCAGAGGTGACCCTGCAGGGGGCTGTGAAATCAGTGGGGACTGGGCACAAGCCAAGCAGAGCAGCAAATTTCCACAAGAAAGCAAACAGAAGCAGCCAACAGGCCAACTTTGCTCTCAAGAAACCATCTTACAAAGCACAGCAGGTCCCCAAAACTTCCCAAGTGTCTCCTTGTTTGAGAAAAAGTCAAACAAACTGACAGCATGCTCAGGATTCCTCTGTGGTTCCACACACTTGACCCATTAAAACAGATTTTTTCCTTTTCTGTAAACCTTCAGGAGATTCTAGATGGGAATTCATAGGTGTCAACATCCACTGAGGTTCTTGGGTTTAAGCAAAGCCAGAAGAGTAACACTAATTTATTACTGGATCAAGGGTGACTGCAGTGGTCCTGTAGAAGGTTTTAGGACTTGCCCTCTTTCCCTTAAGCTGTTAGAAAGGCTTTGTATCTCACCTGTAAACCTGAACCCATGGAACTGCTTATGAAAATCAGATTTCAGTCAAAATCCATAAGAAAAACATTTAGATTACTCTTTATTAACTAAGAAAGTATCTGAAATATATAAAGAGAAGCCCCTGAAAGCCAGGAGCCCCTGAAAATCAGCTGAAGCAGAGAAGTGGAGAAGATCTCTGATGCTTTCACAGCTTCTGCTGGAACATACCTTCCCATATCCTAATTTTTGTTTCCCAGACTACTAAAAATACATTGCTTTCATTTTTGAATACAATAATTATTCAGTTAAGCTCTTGCAAAGCTGTAAGAGTGCTTGTGAGAAAACTGTTAATTTTGCTCCTTGATTTTGCTAAAATACATCCAACTTGTATAATTATATCAGTATGTCTATCAGAAAAGAATTCAGAAAGAGTAAAGGGATGCATGGACATTACTGACTTCAACTAAATACGAATAGTGATTCTGTGTCAATATGAGGCTACATAATTCCACTTTTATTCATATTAATACCTAAGTACAAAGGACATGCCTGGAACCCTAGTGAGTGAGATTGTGTCTACACTCATAATTGACAGTTAAAACACTGAGATTCACAAATCCATTAAAATACTGTCTGCTAACAAAAGTAGTTCCAGGCAACTTATGACAAAAATCTCTACATCACATGTATTGTAACGAAATCATCCAAACAGAACTCAGAAGGAATTAACAGTTGCAATTACCTGCTTGGATCCCAATACCTAATTTCTTCATATTCCTTTTTAACACTAAAACAAAATTTATAAGATCTATTCCTCAAACACTTCTTCCTAGTAGAGGATTGCTCTTCTTTTTTCCAAGCCAGCAAACTGAAACGCTCCTATCCACCCAAATAACTCATATTCAAGCTCCATGAGCTAGAATTGATTATTTTGCAGGTCTCATTTTCAGGAAGCAGTTCAGCCTGGAGAACACTCAGCTCAGCCACCACAAAGAGCAGGAGGAAGGAAGGAGGGAAGCATTAGGAGCTGACCCAGATTCCTCCTTTGGTGGCAGCAATCCCTGAGCAGTGTGGGATCACTGCTCATTAAACACCTGGGTGTTAATCACTGTAACACAGCCTGATGCTCTCACTTGTTCCTGCTCCCTTTCTCCAGGTGACGTCAGGTTTTCCATGCCAGCTGCCCAGGAAGGAGCAATGAATGCCTCTCACTTGGCATCACCACTCACCTAAGCTGGAGATGGGGAGATTGCTCAGACTGATACCTCGTGGTCTGAGCAGCACAGGCTCATCCTGCTGCACTGCCTGCACTCTCCAAACTCCCTGGAAGGACAGACCCATTCCCAGCCTCCTCCTGCCAGGCCAGCACAGCAGCACAGACAGCAACTGCCCACTAAAATTGTACCTGGGTCCACTGAGGAAGGGAAATGGGATCACAACTGAGAACATCTGTGAGGAAACACAGGCTAGAAGTGTTTTCTGACATGGAATCCATTCTTTTTGTTTTAAATGGAATAGTAAGAGTGGTAGTGAGAGGATATCACTCCAACTGGATGTGCCTCAGTGCATCTATGCAGCAAGTCAAAGCACACCCAGCTGTGGTGAGGTGGCTGCTTCCCACGGACACAACACCTCCCAGGATCACCTCAGAACTCAATTACCTTCACCTCAACAGTTCTCCCACCCCTGGACTCCACGTCACTCCTCATTCCATGTGCAGGATGGTCACTCAATCCCTCTCAACTCCAAAGCCTGGTCCCTTCCTGTGCAGGAATTGTCCATAGGATGTGTTCACCTGGCACAGCAGGTTTGGATACAACCTGCTGTCACATCTCAGCATCAGCACTAAACCCCTGCCCGTTCTGAGAGCTCAGAGTTCACCCACCTCAACACACCTATGGGAGGGGCTGCACATTTTCCCAGGACAGATCCCAGGTTCCTACAGGAAACCGCCCAAATGTTTCCACCTCCGAAGAACTATTTCATCTGAAGAACTGAACACAATTAATTACACAAAACTGCCACTATTTTATCCTTCAAGCTCCTGCCCATAAGGAAGGGTTCAAGAGCAAAGGTGTAGCTCTGACACACAGCATTTCTGCCGGGAGAAATATCCAGGTCCCGGTGGATGATGTGGACCTGTTACAAACACAGAGAAATGCTTTAAGCAGCACTCTTTGAAGAACTTGTATTATCCTGATTTTAACTGAGAGCTCCTCTAAAACCTCTGGAGTGACTGTAAGACCCCTGGAGATGTGGAGCTAACTCAATACTCCTTGTCTTGGAAACAGTCCTGGCCAAGGTTTGAGAGAGAGTGTCCTCCATGCAGTCAAACCACACAGAAATTCTGGGATAGTGTCCATCTTGGATACACTCAAGATCCAATCTTTCAGAAGTTTTCTCCAGAACTGCTGGGCAGGAATGAAAAGCCATTGACAAACTTAGTCTCCTACCTTTCAAAATAAACCTGACAAAGGCAGAATGAGAGAACTTAAAGCTGCGTGGAAACGGTGACAGTCTCCCTGGAGCTGCTGGGTTTGGAAACAAAGAGGGAGCAGGGAAGCCAAATGGGAACTTTAAATTCTTCCTATTATTCTCAGTGTGGCAAAGCAGAGTGCCTGTCATGAAGTGCTGATTAGGCCCATAATTACTCCTTTAATTGCAAAGCCAGTGTCTCAACTGCTGCCTTGTGAAACACAGCCTGCAGCAGTGTGGGCTGTGGCTGCACCTTCCAGGAGACAGGAAAAACACCTCTCCTTTTCAAAGGATCTGTATTCATTACTTTTCAAATCATGGCTAGAAAAAAGCAGATTTTTAGAAATAGGACTTTCAGCACAGTCATAAAATAATTAACTTCCAGGTGTCCAACTGGAATGGAACATGGGAAGATGGGTATTACAGTTGGAACTAAGGAGCAAGGACCTCTCACCAGATGTTCATTTCCTACAGTTATGATTAATTCCAGGACATCCCCCTGGCCTGAAGGACTGGGGTAGCAGTTCTGGTGTCACTGCTGTGCAGCAGAGAAGGCAAGGGATGCAACACAGACCCCAGGACCTTGGACACACTGTTTCCACAACATCAGTGGTAATTTCTATGCTAATGCTGTTCTTTCCCATTTCTGTCCATACTCTTCCCTTTCCTTTCTCTCCAAGATATCAAATCTCTCCTCCAAGTAGGGAGCCATTAACAGTCTCTACTGAGCACTGATCCCTGGGAACAGGGATGGATGTTAAGGGACACAGTCATCTTTAGCCCTGACCAGAGGCTGAGAGCAGGAAGCAGATGCCTCAGCAATTACCAGCTCATAGAGGCTGATTTGGGGGAGTCTGGGAGCATGGAGTGGAGCCAAAGGAAGGAACAGATACACAGAGAGGAAGCTCTTGGATCACTCAGGAGAGGTGCCCTCAGTGGTCACACACACAGTGTGTGCTCAGGTTTGTTTCCTGGCTGAACAGCCAAAAAACAACTGGGGAAAAGGCAGTGAACAGTGGAGGACAAAACTGGCTGTTACCTACACACATCAAATACAAGGTGTGAAGAACTGCAGGAAGACTTCAGGAGGCAGACCAACTAGCAGATGAAGCTCAGGATAGATGTGTGGTAAGACTGAGTCTGTAGAAAACTACAGGTTTACATACCTACTTCTGGAACAAAAATTGGAAAAGGAAGAGAGAACAAAACAGACATTACAGCACAGGAATTGGTTTTACCGATGACAGACACCTGATTGTAGAGAAGGGATGAAATCAGAGGCCAGCTGTGCCTCCTTCTCCTCCTTCCAAAAAAGAGGCAGTGCCTGAGTTTGAGCAAGGCCAGGGGACAGCAGTGCCTTCAGAGAGGGCTCTGCCCAGTCACCCCAAAAGGGGCAGCACCAACAGCCCCACTGTCAAACACTCCCAGCTGATCTCGGCACAGCAACGGTGCAGGGACATTTCCCACCCTCCTGTCAGTTAAACACCAATCACACACACAATAACTAAGAGCAGTGACGTTTTGGAGGTGAAGCTCTTCCACTGGAAGTACAAAAACTAAGCAAGCACCCTCCCCTCTGGAGTGACAGGACTGTGTCAGATAAAATTAAGCTTCAGAAAAGTAATGTTGCCAATATAGATGTGATAGTGTAAACACCATTTAGGGACAGCTTTTCTTCCTTAAGATTGCACAGAGGCCTGAAAATGTTAATTTTGTTCTTATCAGTGTGCTGTCAACCATCTCATATCAAACATCCTATAAATGACAAGGGAGCCAGGTACCTTCAATGTAGGTGAGAAATGCTGATGCTGTCGGTCAAACACACCCTTGTTACTACTGCACACAACAAGATTCCTCACTGCCACCACCTCTATAGGTTTTAAAAGGACATAATAATCTGCTTACAACTTACTGTGTACAGCAGATCCTCTGGAGTCACGGGACTGATGAAGATGGTCCGGAGGCATCGCAGGCAAGCTTCAATAAACTTCAAATCTGGGGACAGCAATCCTGCAAGGACAGGCAAAGGTGACCATTCACCTTCATTATCTTTGCTTATTTCAGTCCTTTAGGAACATCTACTGACATGGAGCATGCAGGAGCAGTACCTTGCAGTAAGGCTGGGATAATATGGCAGTCTAGGAGGGATTTGACATTGTTCTCTGTGCCCATGGCAAGGCTGCCCAGGACCACGGCGCACTCCGTCCTCAGCTCTGTGCTTGAGCTCTCCTGCTGAAGTAAGTACAGCAACCTGCAAACAGAATGATTTGTAGAGAAAAATTCAGACAAAGAGAAATTATAAATAAAAAAAAAAAAATTAATCTGAATCCTGAGATGAAGTCCTTAATAAAAATACCAAGACTAAATAAGGGTAGATGAACACTTCATTGATAAGAACCTTTTGACACTTGTTCCCACACAGGTTTCACTGGGTGTTATGGCAGAAAGACACCACAGTGCTTTTTCTCAAAAAGGCAGTGTCACAGTCCTGATATCCGGGATGAGGCCTGTCAGGATACCAGGGAGATCCCAAATTTCAATTAAAGGAAATGAGGCTGCAGCATGATGTCAGTGGAAAGGGAACCTCATGGACTCCCCTGACACCCAGGTACACAATTTCTGCTGACACAATGCTTGGTATCTTTAGCAGTGATTTTTCTGGGTCACAACTGCAAAATAACTCCGTCCTCAAGCACAGGCAGGGGGGCTGAGAGTACTCTTGAGTTTGGAACACCAAGAAATGATCACATAAGAACATGAAGAAAGCCCAGGAATGTTTAATGTGCAGGAAGGCAGCTGAACTGCAGCTGAAGAGACTCACTTGGAGCCTAAAGCACATCTTTGCCAACTATGTCCCCATCAATTAGGATTCTTCCTACAGTACCAAGACACCCAGGAGTCCCTTTGAATGTGCTGCAGGTTACATCAGTAGCACCTGAACCACAGCAGAGATCACCACAGTGGAGTCATGCAAAGAGCCCAGAGAGCAACCAGATTCCTACCTCCCATCAGCACAGGAGATAATCACTGGATGAAAACAGTTTAACTAAAGGCTCCCACAATATACAGCAGCAAAATGAACAGGTAAGATGAGCTGTAACTGAGACAGAATTCCTCTGTACACGTGACACAGACAGTCCCTTCCCTGGAATCACTGAGCTCAGACAGAAGCACTGCCCATTTAGTAACACACTGTTGTGTCTGGTTTGAAAAGGTCTCTCCTAAAATGTACTGACACCTTACCAAGGAGCAACAAGGAGCCAGAAGCCAGCACCTACCCCAGTGCTGGCCAGGACAGAAGTAGGTACTCAGGTAAACAGATCCCTGAACAAAAATGCCCCAAAACCTGACTTCCTAATCCAAGGCAAGAATAACCAGAAGCACAGTAGCCAAGTGCAATGTAGGAACATGGGTGTGGAACGGGCAGCCAGGGAAGTGCAAGCAGCCCCACAGAGACAGCGACACACAAGAGGATCTCCAGCACACACTCCAAGTGTTTCCCACTTACTAAGGTAGAAAGTGCTTCTTGGAGTCCCCTACACTTCAAACCTACAGTAAAAGGCCAACATAGCTCAGCCTGTCCCAGGAGAAAGTTGAGATCAAAAGTCTCTTCCCTACCTATAAGTTGCACATTCGCTCCATAAAATCCAGGCTATCCCAGGCAGCAGATGATTTACCAAGCTCTTGGAGAGGAACAGCAAAGGAACTCCCCGGAATTCCCTAACAATTTATTTGGATGAAAAGTTTTCTGCCTGTGGATCCGTGAGGAACCTGCTTTGCTCCCAAGGCAGGTTTGCCAGCAGCCAGGGAGAGCTGGGGTCATGTGTGCCACTGGGATGGGGCCAATCCCATGGAGGGAAGATCTCCAAAATACAGGCACATACTAAAAAGATTAAATATCATTTCTTCCTGAACACAAACAAAACAGTTGAAATGTGGCAGAAAATTAACGTGTGTGATGCAAGAAACCCCAAAAGCACAGGTATCTTTCCTCCTTTCACCTTCCTTTGGATTCAATGGATCAGATTGGTATAAGTCCAGGACAGCAGAGATTTCCTGAATCATTGCTGTTTTCTTTAACCTGCTCCTTCCACAAACTTATCAAAGGTATCCAGGTTCTTTGTTCCTGGTTGTCTGGTTTACCTGAAAGGCCATTTATTCCTGATATTTAGAAACCTCTCCTAATTTCTTGTATAGATCTATTCCTGATTGACACCATTTTGATAGAGCAAACCTATTATCCTTTAATTTGTATTCATTCTTCCCAGTTCCCAAAGTGCCCAGCTAATGGTCCTGAGGCACTTTGGCCCAGACCAGCACTTGGTCAGTGGGGCTGATCTGCTGCTCTTCCTCTCACTGACAGGGCAAGGGATGCCAAAAAGGCTCAGAGGATCAGTTGTTCCACAAAAGCATCTCTCACACATTTGTGCAAACCCAAAATTAATCATACCTACATTACCAGCTTCTGGGAAAGGAACAAAACTGATACTGCAGGCAATTAAATTACATGTTTCTAAAGCTCCAAGTTCTGGTGCTGTATTATTTGAAGTATCAGCTGTGCCATGTCCAAGGTGAAGATTAGTGCTGTTTCTGAGGGAGTACAAAAGAAGCAAAATACATAATCACTCTTATGCAGAATCATCACAAAGGAAAACCAGCGCTCCACTTGCAATCCCAGTGGGAGTGGATAACCTTGCACTGCTGTTGCTGCTCCACAGACAGCTGGGTTTGTTCCCTGCCTTGTACATCAGGTGAGGACACACAGGAACACACAAATGCACTGAGTGATCCCAGCTAAAATTCATCCTGGAAAAGATGGGAAGTTTTGTCTGGACACTGAGCTCCCATATAGAAAGTACAATCTCATCTACTGTTCTAACTCTGACTGACTCCTCTGTTGTATGAGTTGGTAAATATTGATCCAATTAGTAATTTAAAAATGTCAGTAGCCATCATCTTTTTTTAATAGCTTTCAATAACCTAGAGGTAAATTTGGAAATTCAAGACCATTTCCTTCCATTTTCACTAGGAAGTCCTGAAAACCTGCTCTGAGGTGCATCTTCCCTGTACAGATCACACACCAGTGGCCTTCTCTGATTACTAAAGACTGGGATAAAAACTCTGCTCCTTATACCCAGAAATGTTCAGTCACAGAATCACAGAATCACTGAGGTTGGAAATGCCCTCTAAGATCGAGCCCAACCATTCCCCCAGCACTGCCAAGGCCACCACTGTCCCCAGGTGCCACATCCACGTGGCTGTTAAATCCCTCCAGGGATGGGGACTCCACCACTGCCCTGAGCAGCTGTGCCAGGGCTGAACAACCCTTTTCCATGATGGAATTCTCCCTCATACCCAACCTGACCCTCCCCCGGCACAGCCTGAGGCCGTTCCCTCTCCTCCTGTCCCTTGTTCCCTGGGAGCAGAGCCTGAAGTCACCCGGCTCCCCCCTCCTGTCAGGGGGTTGCAGAGCCAGAAGGTCCCCCCTGAGCCTCCTTTGCTCCAGGCTGAGCCCCCCCAGCTCCCTCAGCCCCTCCTGCTGCTCCAGCCCCTTCCCAGCTCCGTTCCCTTCCCTGCACATGCTCCAGACCCTCAATATCATGTCCTAAAAAGACCTTTTTCTTTTCCCCCCAAAAGGATTTTTACCAAATTCTAAAGCACCCTAAGTTCTGGAGGTTGTTCTCTTCCAAGGAAAGTAATTGCTATTTTCTTTCCCATTAACACTCCACACGGGGAACAGATGTTACAGCAATGCTGCTGCTAAAGAGTGAAAATGAACCACACCAACTATAATCTACAGTCTCTCTATGTGCTTAAAATAGAAAGCCTTAACTAAGCTTTATAATTAGTGAAGATCAAAATTTAAGTTCAGATTTTATATGCAATAAGTTTCTGAAATATTAATAATATCCTTTTCTACATCTTTAAAATAAGTTTGTGTTTCAGACTACGTTTTCCACAGAGCTAGACAACCGTATTATAATATTTTCTATTTCTGTCTTTAAAAGACAGAACTGACACCAAGTAACATTGAAAATTAGGTAGTTACATGACAAACTATGAAACTACAAAAAGTTTCAAGACAGCAGAATCCATATAACTACTGAAGATGAAATTGTGCATTAATAAACTACTGTCAAACATTAAAGACAAAGACCACATCCTTCTACTGTCCCAAGGAACATCCTGGACTGGTTTGCTGTTCCAAGGGTCTAGCCTAGACAAATCCAGCAAAGATGGAATACATTCCTCCCATATATTAATATCAACAGGATTAAAAGGTAGAAAAATGGCAAATACTTGCAGGGGGTAATTTGGATTTTGGAAATTTCAAAAATATGACTAAGGTACTTGTCCATAGCCCACATTTTAAGAACAGGTTGTCCCTGCATAACCTGGATCCCTGATCTCCAGCCTTATCCCCAATCAGCCACCTCTCTGACTTCCTAACCTGCAGAAATATGGGGCCAAGGCTCTGCTCTGAACCACTGACTCACTTTCAAAGAGCCCAAGAGCTTCAGGAGAAGCCAAAGGCACAAAACATTTACTGTGGAACAGCAAAAAGGGGCTCCTGTTCTTGTTGGCTCTCTGCAGCCCATGATCCTGCAGTGAAGCTCATCACAATGAGACAGGACAGGAAATAAAGCAATGGAAAGCTCTCACAACATCTTCAAGAACATTAATCCAAGGTTTTAAAATGCAATACTTGGACTTTTTTCAAATGTCTACAAGGCTCCTTAAGATAATTTTCTCTAACATTTGTACAGAGTACCTGTTCCTCCATTTGTCTCTGCCCTTCCAAGGGCAATGAACTGATTAAAGCCTCTTTCTCAGATGTCAGGAATGTATCCAGGCAATCATACCCAAAGGAGGAAGGTCAGCAAATCCATCCAGAGAGACACTTCAATGAACTCCAGGCACAACCTTGCCGAGAAACCACAGCTGAGGTGTGATGTACTCTGAGCCACTGATCAGACTCACCTGGGAAAACCACGGATTTTCTAAAGCAGAAAAGGAAAGCAGCTGCTGAACAAGAGGTAACTACAGTGCAAGGGAGGTAAACAGTGCAGATTTTCCTGGTTTTGAGGATGACTGAGTTGGGGGAGGAACACCAGAGTTCCACAGTGTAAGATAGACGTGTGTGATTTAGACCTCATCAATCCAGCCTGAACACAGACCTCATTCAGTTAAAAATAACAGGAGCTTCCTCTCTGACACTCCAGCCCACTTCCAAATTGTCACAAAAGCCTC